GTTTTAGACCACTGGGTCTTCATTTTAGACCAGTGGGTCTTCGTTTTAGACCACAGGGTCTTCGTTTTAGACCAGTGGGTCTTCGTTTTAGACCACAGGGTCTTCGTTTTAGACCAGTGGGTCTTCGTTTTAGACCGCAGGGTCTTCGTTTTAGACCAGTGGGTCTTCGTTTTGGACCACATGGTCTTCGTTTTAGACCAGTGGGTCTTCGTTGTAGTCCACAGGGTCTTCGTTTTAGACCACAGGGTCTTTGTTTTAGATACATCCTTTGTTGATTGTAAACTGCCACTGGCAGTCTGGAAAAGTCCCCCGCACAGTGTTGTAAAGCGCATTAGATCATTACATGGTAGATGCGCTTTTGAAATTGATATAATTATTACAATTATTTTAAGCAGATCTCTGATACTGAGAATAACCTTTGAAATTCCCTAATGCTGTTAAACAAGGAAGTTTTAAAAACTTGATCCTTAATCATGATACCATTCAAGAGCAGCTATTAAGTTTTCTGTAAATGAATTTTGGAATTTTCCACGATACAACAGCACACTTATGATAACTGGATGAATGTTATTTTGCAGGGTTGTGCCTCGATTGTCGTGGGTAACTTGAGAGCACTGTTGGCTACTGTAGGTGTTATTGGAATCATAGTTGGTATAGTCGAGGTAAAGCAGTAACTTAAGGGGAAGTAAATTATTGGGGATAAACCAATTATCAATTGAGTGTGGTGCGTAAACGGAGATGGCTTTGGATTTACTGTACTTCGTTGTATGATAGGTTTAAAAACTCGCGTCACTACCACAACCAAGGGAGCACGGCAGTTAGCGGCTCAACATAGCGGTCAGCGGATAAAAGCGGAAGAGCAACATGGCGATTCGAAATACGAGAAAGACGCCCGAAATCAAGGGAAAATAAATTCTGCCGTGCTCCCTTGCCACAACCGATCAAATTCAAAGTTAGAACCAATGTCCACGTGGTCTCTCACGTTTTTCTTTTTTCCTTTGAGCTCTCGTTGCGTCCTTGTGATATTTTGCTTTGCTTTCATTTTTGGGGTTGGGTTTTTTACGAGGATCAATCAAAATGCAGTTAATAAATTAATATTCCGGGTGAGGCGGATCTAAACTCCTGTAATGCCTGTTCCTAAAACTACCAAAGTGCAGTTCAACTCTTGAATTAGTCTTTAGACAAAAGCTAGAGAAGATGAAGGAAGCGTCTTATGATTTGCATGTGTTCTTTGCCTGAGACTGCAATACGGTAACACTAGGCTTAGCCTTTTTGATACTTCGGTTCATTGAGGCTCTTTAACATCATCGCTGCTTCTATAAGAATGAATTTTTAGCGCATAAAATTTGGGATTGCAGGTGTTCTTGTGCGTGGCCTTTCTTTATTGTTATTTCTGCAAAAGAGGCGGTGAAAATTATGCACAACAACAATCACCGACGCAGTCTCATCTCGGAGAACACGAATTGATTGGCGGGAAGGGAGGAAGTGGCTCAGGACAAAGCAAGGTTGGACCTACTGCAGTAAGAGAGGAAGATGACCCGCCTGTTGAACAGGGAGAAAGTACCTCCAATCCTGGTGTTTCGAGTAAAGAGGAAAGTGTGGAGCCCTCTAAAGAAAAAGTCACCTACTGTTAAAGAACATCTGGAGCTGCATGCTCGATTAACAATGATCTGACAAAGAGAAAGACACGGAATGGATGCAGGGGAAAGTAAAGAGATATAGGAGTTCAAAACAAGTTATTTTCTTCTCTCTGAGGTTTTGAGGATCGCACGCCTCGCTAGGAACCATGTTAAACAGAGCCCAGTTCAAAATTTTTCATTTCTTTAGAAATTATTTGCCAAATAACTACTGAAAGGGAGGGCTAGACTGTCAATTAGAGAGCTCAGATATCATTCATGGTTGTTATGTCACCGTGATTTTGTCAGTCATATCATTTTCCTTTAACTAGCCAGGAGCCCCTGAACTTGGCTAGCTTCTTCAAGGCATAGGTGAAGGTCAAAATAATGAGCTGCATGGATAGAAGGAGGAGCCCAAGGAAGGGGTTGAGTAGTCGTCGCCGTAAATGCTTGGAGTAGAGCAGAACTGAGTTTGGCAGAGTTCCTTTTTCCACTTTCGAAATCGAAATTCACCCTTTGCCTTATTTACTCATCTTTGTGTCACAAGCCAAGTTGTCCTTCGATAAACGTGGTAGAACTTGAGCTCATTTGATCACAATTTTCAAAAGGTTGGATTACTCCGAGGTCTTAAAACATGGTCATTATTGTAGTATCGCTAAGACCCTTTGTAGAGTGTGATAGAAGTCTTATCTTTTATGGAGCAAAACTTCTCCTTTAGTCGAAACAGAGTTTATATTCTTAGTTGTTACTGCTATTTTGGTTTACGATGCACGTCTGTTCAAGCAGATGTTTGGGAAATTCAAATTGTGATTTATAAGCGCCTTTAGTTGTTACTGAGACTAAACACAAATTTGTTCTGTGTTTCTCAATCATCCAGTTCTCTTTAAGTTATTCAAATTACTAAATAAAAGAGAAGAGTTTATAGATAATGGATTACTGAGTAAATCTTTAAAATTGTTTGGCATAGGAAAACTAATGAATTTCGGCCAGAGGGTGTGTCTTACACGAACCGTCACCAAAATGAACAAAAGGCACAACTCGTATTTATTCCTTCACGAGTTAGCTGTCGATACAGGTGTTCAAAATTTTAACGAGAAGGAAGTTATTGGCAAATGGTTCTCGTGCGACCCAAGCCTACAACAACCCTCATAATTTCCTGAAACATTAGCGTGAGGAAAAACAATGGCAACCCTTCATCTTCTTGAATCATTAAACAATAAGAGGAATGCATCCACGAGACCAGCTTTGCTGTCCGTGTCTTCGAACCAAAGAAAGGATGTGCATCTAGAAGAGTTTCTGGTCCACTGAAATGGTTTTCATCATAAAAATCGACGAATTTTTGTGGGCGGTGAACTGTATAGTTTTCTTACCACTGTCATCGTGTGTGTAACAGTAAGTGTGATCATATCAACAACAACAGCAGCAACAAAAAAAGGTACAGTGCGTGAAGAATCCATGCTGTTAAAACGAGGGAAAGGAAATCCGGAAGAGATCTTTAGAAAAGGGAAATAGAAAATCGAATGTAAATAATCGGACGGGAAGATCGAAAATGAGGGAACGAAAATGGAGAAATAGAAAGAGAGAATTAAGAATGGGAAATCAAGTCTTTTTATTCCTTTGCAACACAAAAATAACCAAACGTGACGTCATGCCAATATTATTATTCAGAACTGGCTCTCCTTGTCCTTTTGACTCCTGATATGAACCACGTAACTGTCTTTATCACTAGCGTTGTTGTCGAGACACAAGAATGAAAAAAATCGCAAGAAACAGTCACGATCATATCCAGTTCTGCTCTAGCTTGATTGTAATTAAAAGAAAAAAAAGGAAAAAAAAAAATAGAAAATTAAAAGCTTAAACCAGCTCAGGTGGTCTTACACACACACGCACACACCACATAACAATAACATGTTTATGTCCTACCTGTTCAACGAGGAGAAAATAACCTCAAACTAATGCGCCGATCAATTCGAAGCTTCAACAGCCCGGGCAACCCTTGGGCATTTGACCGTCGTCCGTGCCCGGGAATGGGGAACTTGAACCTTGCCTGGCTAAGTGGAGTGGGAAATTTGAACAGGAAGTCGTGTCCAGTCTTTCCAGCGGAATACAAGTGTACTATCTCTAAATATGGAGGTGTTTGAGGAAAATTGTTCACTTTCGCCAGCGAATGGTTAAGAAGAAAAGGTCTGCAAGGTCTAGGTTTTCAAGCTTAGTCACTGTGTAGAAAGTCACGGTTGCTGCAAATAAATTGGGTGGGGTATTTGAACACAATTTTTGCCTCGGGGGCTGGAATTTGAACAAACCAACGTTCAAAAATTCAAATTCCCGGGAGGTTGCCCGGGGAGAGCGACGTTGAAGCTTCGACGCATAAACGAAAACAAATGAAGGAAACAGAGGAACTCCCACCATATTCGTAAACCGCTATACTTGAGGCCATAATTCATTCAGCGCTCAAGCAAAGTAGCCCTTATTTCTCTATGATTAAAGTTAATGAAATCGCTTCACGTAAAATGAACCATTACTTCGAACAAAACCATAAAAACTAGATGAAAACTTTGTTTCTTGTGGAGGCTACACCGAACTGAGAAGTACCACACCTATTAGAGAAATTTTTCGACAGAATGTTTAAATTCCACCATTACAAGACATTAGCATCAACATCAAAACAATTTCGGAGAATTTTAAATTTTCTCCGAGTTGCTCGAAGAGGGTGTATCTCGTACGCGATCAAATTTCCTTCACTACACTTAAACCAGATAAATGGAAAGAATTATTAATGATACTTTAAATGCTATTTCAGGCCTAATTACCAGGTTAAACAAATCCGAAGGGATCCTTACCTTTATAGTAAAAACAAAAGTTTCTATTTTTTCACTGCCGAAACGAACGCGGACTAAGAAATCCATTTCCCCTTCCTTTGTTGACATTTGACTGAGTAACAATTGACAACTTTGAAAAATAGTGCACACATCACATGACATTGCCTTAGTTCCTTCATATACGTGCAGTGGCTGTTTATTTACAAATTTTGTTTAGTATAAATTTGAAAAAAATTCCTGTGAACAACGAAATGTTATCATTACTCCACTCCGCACTATTCTTTTCCATTTTATTCTTCGCGAATGTGTAAATCTGTTGATAAGAAAACGAGGAACAATTAAAAGAAAAAAAGAAAGAATGACTACTTGAAAACCAAGAGAAAGATAGACTGCTTTCTTGTGGATAAATACATTTGAAACTGCATAAACATCCAAGTTTGAGTTTGTTTCGTGGAAAGTGAGAGGTGAGCGATCAAAACCTCCAATTCCAAACAAAATAAAAATTGTATTGGAAACGAAGGGAGACACACTGTACTCCAAAAACGCATTTGAGTTGTAACATTGAATTTTTTTTACTTGATTTAATAGCGCACAGTTTTAGTTCAATATCTAGATGGTATCAAAACAATTTCTTGCCAACCTCTTACCATGTGTTAGCAATGACGTAGGGCCTGGGCATCGGCGGCGCGAACTCAACCCTTTGATGACTATTAATTTGATTCAGTCTGTCTTGATGTTGCTGCGACGGTGAACTGAAGTCTGTTGCTGGCAGAACCCGTATGGATCCTCCCTGGCCAATTTTAGAGGCCGAACTCTGAATGGACAATGAAGCATTAACAAATATTAGCAACCACTGTATATCACTCACCTTGATAGTCTATCAAGAGCAAATTTCCAATTAAATGTTGAAAATAATCCGAGATTGTATTGTTTTCAGTTACTTCTGTTATAATAATAATTTAATACTTTAAGTATGATGCACGTCTGTCTTGATGTTACTGCGACGGTGAACTGAAGTCTGTTGCTGGCAGAACCCGTATGGATCCTCCCTGGCCATTTTTAGAGGCCGAACTCTGGATGTATTGGAACTCTTCATATATTCATCGTATTTAATACTTTAACTCTTATATTGCGCACTTTCCATAAAATGATCAAGCGCGCATTACATCTGAAATAGTTATTAAAAATATACTATGATAAAATTAAAGCATACAACATATGTTAAGATACTAGCGACTATCTTCTCTTTGTGATTAAGAAAAATAATTGGCGCGTATTCCGTTGCCAATCTTAAGAGTTAAATCATACCTTACTGTTTGGTAGAGACGTCCCAGTAAACTTTCTTAGAGGTGCTCCTCCAGTTCGACTAGCCCCAGAAGGGTCCGGCCTCTCCGTCTGCGATCTCGCTTGTGGATGCATGCTCATAGCATCGTGGCCGCCGAGTTTAGTCCTGGATTGTACAGTGTGCGGATGAAGAGGGTCAGTTGGGGGATTTGAAAAAGGTTTACCTTCTGTTTCTCTTGGTACTGGGTCAGGGACTTTAGACCTAAAGGAAATCGAGCATACGAAAAAAAAAAAAAGGTCGCCATTTAAAAACCTTCTTGTGCATCTTTACTCAACCAGCCCAAGTCAATATTTAGTGGAATTAAACAAGAACAGGCCCTTGAGTTTCAAATTCAGTTCATCAGTGACAGCAATGAAGAAATGGGGCAAAAACTTCAGTACTGGAGGTCCGACACCCTTACAAGAGTCATTCGTATAGCAGTTAAATCTGTCAACCAGTTGATTACCACAAATGAAACAAAAAAAAGACGCATTTCTTACAAGCAAGTTGATTCAAAACTCCGAGACTAACATGTCTTTCTTTTTACGGTAATAGTCCTTTTTACGGTTGTGGGCTTGGTGGCCAAGCCTTTGAACAGGAGTGAGGCTTAGGGTGACCTTGTTATGAGAGAGATGTTGCTGCTTTTCAAATGCAAATTACTTTGTTATCATGCTAACTAGATACAGGTCCCTATCACAACAGGGTCACCCTTAGCCTCACTCCTGTTCAAAGGCTTGGCCACCAAGCCCACAACTGTAAAAGGGACTATTGTGTATGTTGTGGGGAGAAATGAGAATACGTAGATACTTACCTTGGAGAACGAGGTGTCTTCTCCTTAGCTGGCTCCCCACTCTCTGGTAAGACAATCGGTCCCGTGTCCCGCGTGGGAATTTGGTTCGGGACGCCAAATGGATAGGCAGCAGTGGTCCATGCCACAGCCTACAGAATATACAAACAATTTAACTTATTTTCTTTGACTTGTAACATGATTCTTTTCATGAATTATACCTTGCTCAACAACTGCATTCATCGCTCTGAAACATATCATGAATTCCATTATCTTTGAAGGATAACAAAACAATTTGCAACAACGACGACGACAACGACAATGCAAAAAATGAAGTCTCACCTGTCCATTAGGTTTGCAAAGTATTGTGGTACATTCTGGTCCAGTTCCCCACTTGTGCTGCTCTTTCCACAAGAAGTCTGATGGAGGGTTATGCCTGGACAAACTTGCAGCCGACCACACCTATAGGAGACAACAGCAAAGGGCAAAGGGGTTCAACCAGATTATTTTCAGTAAATAGGCCGAGCAATTTTCTATCGGAGAATTTTGATTTAACATTATGCCCAGGAGTTGGGCTATTATTTCATAAAAATAAATCACCAAGTAAGACCACCATGTACATGTCATTCGGTTTAAGACAAATTAAGATACCTAACAATGACCTGATAACGTGCAAATTGTTAATAGCTATGGGCCAATTTTTTTTTTTTTTTTAATACTTTCTGCTGCAGCACCTACTGTATTAGTGGGTGGAGATACTTACAGTAGCGTGTGACAATGCCTTCAGCCGGGTTCTTGGAGGAAAACGGAAGACTGTCACTGGTCTTCCAGCAACATTCTGTTGAACCATGTACCCGCCAATCTCTTCATCCTGGGAAAAGAATCGAGGATACGTCATGAAGCTAAGATAGCAAGAATTTTCGCGATTTTGTCACCCACTGACAATGTCCAACACTTTGCATCTCAGTTAAGATGCATGAAACTTCTCCAGCCGGAAGGGGAAGTAGCTGGTGACAGAAAGACTTACCAAGCGTCGACGATTAGAGAACCCTTAGCTTGGGAATCGCGCATCACCGTTAAAGCTTAAAGTAGATGAGGAAAAAGCAAAGAGAAAGGCTAGCTTCGAGATCACCAAAACCCTATATGCATAGTTCATCCGTAAGAATTGCGATAAAAAAGAAGTGCGATAAACCCATGGACCAAGTCCGACACATACCTTCAAACTAAGATATTTGGAAGTCAGAATAGAACTCACTTTGAAACCGGATGTGTTGAAGATTCTCACATAGTTACCATCTGGGTTGACCTCCAAGATACGGACATTTCCTGTATGACTAAATGAAAAGACGTAAACCAAGAAAGAATGAGACTTGCATGAACGAATATGGGATATGCCCTTAGCGGCCAACCGTGGATAGAAAGCAAACTGCACATGGTGATTGAGAACCAAAACAAAAATTAAATTAAATCGCTTTGTTTGGATTTCTCTTGTACCATATGCGATCGCTAAACATAAGGGGGTTATTGATACCTTCATACAATAACGATGACAGCTCGATTTATTAGATATCTGGAATTTGTTCAGTAAACGTTAAGGTTTTTCTATGGTTGTAGTGATGTATGTTGTCAAGCAAACTTATCTCAACATAATTATTTGGACCTTCTAGATTTTTTAGACATACTAATTGCTTCTTTGCCTTACTCTTTAAAATACGTAAGCAACATCAAATGAGTGGTAATGATTTTTTTCTTCACAATATGAAAGTCGCATCAACTCTTAAATAGTAGGTAGCTAATATTGCCGAGTGATATAGTTGAAAAAATCATAGTCATGGGGTGGAAGAGTTTTTCTGAAAAACAACTTCCAAAATTAGAATTCTGCATATAATCTGATGAGAGATGACTTTATTGGTAAAACCACTGTAATATCTAATGTCTTACAAAGTGATTGATGAAAAACTTATTCTAATAGAAAATACATAGACATGTGTGCTAAGGCGTTGAAAGGCGTAAAAGTTAAAAATATGACCATACTTTGCTGTAAATAGTAAGATGAAAAATTTGATTTGCTCTTTTGATAAATATTCAAATATTTTTAAATTAAAAAGGGAATAACTTATTCAACTCTTTGTGATTTTTAAGCAATCTTGATGTCTGATTCTCATTACTTCTAATCTGATATGTATCTATAATTATATATAATTAATGGGCAATTCAATAAAATGAAAATCAATATTCCCAAAGGAGTATCTTGAAGTGAATAAAATTTCTCAATTCTGTTCTATATTTCAACAATAAATAACACATATTTATCAATAAAAATGTGCATCTTATAAATCAACAATATATCAATAATAATTACTGTCATGATATAATCTTCACTTATTTGCAAAATCTGATAATCTTGTAGAACTTGACATGGATGAAAATTTTTTATATCAAATTAATGTCACATTCAAAATTTTAAATCAAACAAGACATGTTAGTAACAATAATCACTGTTATTGTACTTTCATCTAAAAATTCACCTCAAATTGTTATGCAATTGGATATACTAAACTCTGAGGTATATCATTGTGGAAGTTAATCATATACACAACACTCATATTTTCAGAAAAAGAGTAAACTTAGAAAACAGAAACAAACTTGACAAAAAAATTCAAATGACACTATTGGATTAGACCAGAAAAATTAAAAACGTGGTTACTAAATTCCACTATATAAAATATTTGCATTGTGGAATTTAAGAAATATATACTTAATTTGTCAAATACTTGTGAAAAAATACTTCATGACTGGTAGAGTTTAAAAGCCCAAAAATTAATACTTGTAATATGAATTTCTCAAATCCACTTTTTCTGCCTTGTAGTTAAAATTCAAATAAAAACATCATCTATACAATGTAGCTTAGATGGTATGATGAAAAAAAGAAGTCAGTCTTCTAATTGGACTGCATAACCACTGTCTGCCATTGGAAAAGATAAACTAGTCATACAAATCAAATGGGGCTTGATAAATTAGAGTAATCAAAACAGTGGTTGACTTAGGCCGAACTTTGTATTTCACAGGGGAGGGAAAAATTTAAGTTACATGTCAATAATGTTGAGCAAAAGAAAAGTGTTGTTATGTAGCACTGTATTGTTCTCAATGGTAAATCTTGAAGAAGTCATACTGGGCCAGTGTGCGTGGAAGGCTTCGAAGAAAGCGAGACCTCCAAAAGAAACAGAATATAACCAGAGTCAGACTGCTAAATGTGGGGTATCATTCTTTTCAATACATTTGACAAGAATCAATTTCAGAAACTTGATTTTGAGTTTACATTAAAAAAATTAACTGGCCCAGAATGATAGAGAGGATCTATGAGTTAGAAACATCAAATAAGTTCTCCTTAAATTGGATATGACCACTGTTAAATACTGGCTTTAGGGAACTTTTTTAAATCAAAAAATAAAATTTATAATTTTATTAGATTATCATTGGTTTATTACTGGTTAATTGGCTTTTGTCAACCACCAGGAAGAATTTAAGAAGACACTATTGCTACACTTTTAACTCACAGTGGCTCAAAAACTTGTCATACAAAAGGAGGCATGGTCTGTGGATTCAAAGACTATGTTGCTCTAAAATTTCTTCAGTACAACTTTCATATCTCTTTACTTCAAATACCCAGCAATAGCATTAAAACCACAATGACCTGATTAAAGGATCTTTGATTAGATGATGCATGAACAAAACATAATCAACAAGGACAAGTGACTGTCGCAGACTTAAGTCTGTATGGACCTTCTTCAGAAAAGACAGTTTTTATGTACCACTTAATATTGATTTATGCATTTGAATCACCACAAACCAAGCAGTTTAGCACCCCCTGCATACCAAGTAAATTAAAATACATCACACATAAATATAAAAACTAAAGTTACCTTGATGTAGGACTGTGATAGTCCACAAAGTTTGGTACATAAGACCATGAGTGGCGGTATGGACTGCTAGTGGTTATGGGCTGGACTACAGGCTTTACTTTAGTGCCAGTCAAGGTACCTGACATTGGATCACAGTAAACATGAAGTTATTTCCTGGCTTTAGGGTTAGAGTTTATAAATATCTTTCAGAATAGATTCTATGACATTTAACATTGTTAAAGTTGAAGAAGTGTCACCATTAAATTAAAGCTTGACTGATCTTTCTATGTATACACCCATTCCAAAACAGTATATTTGCAAGCCAATGGCTTGGAATGACATTGCAGTGTCTTGTACCCTCCATCAGAAACATCCATCTACTCCAAAACTTGAATAAAATCTGGACTTTCATTGCTTCAAAGTTAGTACTTTTCTCCAAAGCCAGCACTCAATTAAAGATAACTGTAACTTTGGCAGGAAACTTTCCAAAGGTTTTGAAGCATTAAGCTACAATTTCAATCTCTCAAGAAATGCGCTGAGTACCTGCTGTAGTCTTGGGTCGTGTCACAGGACGCCTTATCACTGCAGTACTTGTAACAGCAGGGGGATGTGTGATACCCAGAGTGGTAGCTGGTCGTTTGACAGTTGGGATAGGAACCTTCTCTGTAGTGGCATGCCAGGTACGAGAGCGGACTGGAGTTAGAGGTACCTTGCTTTCCATGGCCAGGTTTAACCTGAAGTGATGAGAAATGAACCAAAAGGTTGATGTACAATCATACCATAACCGCCTTCCAGTTAGCTAATTGGATAGAGCGCTGGACTGTTGTGTGGGAGTTTGAGGGTTCGAGCCTCGACCGGACCAACACCCAAGGTCTTAAAATAATTGAGAAGAATATGCTACCTTTCTATAACATCAAGAAATGGTTAGATATTCTAGTCTTCTCGGATAGGGACTAATAAATGGAGGTCCCGTCTCCTGCATGGTTAGGGGTAGGAGACGTTAATTTCCCACTCACGAGATTACTGTGTGATGGATGTCCTCCCCTGGGGTAGGATGGGTGGGTTACAAAGGGGTTAGGTGTCAATTGGGATGAAAGTTCTGTTCCTTTCTCCTGCCATTCCCGTGGTGTAAATTAAATTCTAAAATTCTAAATTCATAAAATGCACATACTGTACAGAATATCAAGGGAAAAGTTTTCAGTTATAATCACACAAATCTTTTTTTTTGGCTTAAGTCACATTAATTAAGGCACATCAAGTTATACAAAGAGAATATAAATGTGGCGGCATGGGAACTTATTCAGAAAGAGGACAATTGCTCATGGGTATTGTGGAGATGAGAAGGGGAGATGAATGGTTATTTCATATTTAAGCTCTTCCAGTCATGGTAACTGTTATATTGTTGCAGGTTTTAAGACATTTGGCTCACCTCCTCTCCTCAGCCTCCAATAGAGTGGCAAATGCATCCAGTTCTAGGTCAAGTGGTAGATGGGCATTGTATGCCAGCCCCAGCTCTCTCACCTTGGCCATCAGGGCTTCTTGCAGCTCTCGCAACTTAGCCTCCAGATTCTTTATGGTGTTTGCAGCCTGCTGGCGTTCCATTTCCAGGTTTTGAATAAGGCCAGCATTTTGGGCTTCCAAACTAGAACACTAAAAATGAGTTTATTTACTTTTTCATAGTTGTTTTGACTCATTGTTTACCATTTAAGAATCTAATAATAATTTTTCTTGACAGGGCACAGACACATGTACATGTCAGAACTTCTAACAATTGACTATAAAGCTCTTAAATTTCTTGCGTAACATTAAACCGTGATGTAATAGTATGGCAAACAAATGAGAAGTCTCTTTCATAGCTTAAGAGCATGTCATCCTCATTAATACTGATGCAAGATTCATTCTTCTTCACCAGCCAGACAATAGCAGGCCATTTTACGGTTGTGTGCTTAGTTGCGAAGCCTTTGAACAGGACCGAAGCTAAAGGGTGACCTAGTAATGACACGGATATTACAGACCTTGTTATCGTGCAAACTATAGATACATTGTCTCAACTATTACAACAAGTGACTTTCAGCCTCGCTCCAAATCAAAAGTTGGCAACCAGGTAAACAACTGTAAAATGGCCTATTTGCCATTTTGCCACAATTTGGAAGAGGCTGGTGAGGGTCTAGCACTTATTGCAGTACTTGACTCCTTGCAGACCTCTTGCCACCTTGCATCGCTCTAGAGGCCTTATTTTCAGATGAAAGGCCCAAACCAAAGCCCTGACAATGTAAGGGCCTTTACTCACAGGCTGTCTCTTCCAAAGATAATTAGCCCATGCATGTAATAATGTAGACTTGATTGCCATCTGCTTTGACACCATAAAAACAATATTTTAGCCAATTACTGATTGATGTTAGTTAATGAAAGGAAGTTCAAGATGTAGTGTATTTGAGATATTTGTAGATACCTTGGCTTCCAGGTTGATGTTCTTAGAATGCACAGACTCAACCTGAGCCTTCAAGTGGATGTTGTCATCTGTGGCAGCTGCAAGGTTTCTGCTTTCACTATCCAACTGTGCTCGGATCTGGTTCATCTGTATAAATTGTACAAAATTTAGTACATGTCAAGATTAGTGGTACCATATAATTCCCGGCCGATTACCCGCACTGGCCGATTATTGCATGCAGTGAAAAAAAAAGTCAACAGATTACCCACACTGGTGGATAACCTGCACTGGTGGATAACCCACACCTTAAAAACAAAGGAAATTTGTACAAATGTGCTCTACAATTCACAACGTTGCATACTTGACAGAATGCGAATTCGTGGCCACATTTTGTGTGAACGATCATTCAGCGCCACGTTGACTTCTCAAAAAAATCAATATCTCTGGTTCTACTGGGCCTAACAAATCCCTTAAAATGGGAAAATTCTCTTCAGCTGAAGCTCGTGTTAACTGGAAATTTGTTACTGATGTGCCGGTTATCCTTGGTTTATTTTTGTCACCATCAAGGTTGTGTTTGCATGTGTGCCAATAGTAATTTGCTCGTCACACAACTAATTGTGCGTGAAATAAACTCAAGTCGGCATCATGTTTTCGTGTCGCTTTGTGGCACTCTTAATACCATAAAGTTCATCTGAGAGGTGGAAACGCAGATAGGTGAGAATTTTCTTCAGTTCAACCGCCAGTAGATTTCAAAATTGTCACAAAACCTGCACCTCCCTATTACCCGCAGTGGCATGTGTTAAAGGCAAAATCAAGAGATTACGCGTGGGTAAATGGCCGGAAATTACAGTACCCACATCAAGTTAGTCATGCTGAAACCTTTTTAGCCAGAGCAAGCAGAAAAAATTTTGCTGTTTCATTGGACTCAATTAACTCTTTTGCACAGGGTACTACAGTGGTATAAGATGAGGGTTTCAGTTTCAAGATTGATAGTTGAACTAAACTGATTTTTTGGGGGTAGGCCGACACTTCCTCGTCTGTTCTTGAAGGGAGGGTGCAATATTATTTCTAATAGACAAATATATTGGCCTACAATGACTACAGGTGTGTAGATGACATGAAAGTTGAAACTGAATGATTTATGTAGTTACCCCATTGTGATAAGAGATTTCTGCCTCCTCTTTGAATCGTCGCAACTCGGCATCACTGTGCAGCTTCACTTTGGCCAACATAGCTGACAAATTTTCATCAATAATATTGTGCTCATGCAATCTTTCCTCAGCCAACAAGATAGTCCTTTCAGCATCATCCAGACGACATCGCATCTCATGCAACTCCTGAGAGATGAGCATAATAAAATATGTCTATTTCTTGGGTGAAAAATGTATGTTCCAAACAGACATTTCATGATTTTAACATGACACATCTCTAGTTGTTACCAGACCGAGCGAGTGGTCTTTTTCGGCCATGTGTATGATGAATTTTGTTCTGAAGATTGCAAATGTGAATTGTTTCCATCCTATCGATTTCGACCAACATTTTTCAGTTATTTTGAGAAGGAACCCTCAGATTGTTTGTAAGTGTTCGACATTTCGATATATTTGAGCTTTGTATACTTTCATTTTGCTTTATTTTGCTTTGCGTTTGCAAGTTTCGATTGTGTAATTCTACTTTCAGAAACTTATTTAATTGCCGCTTATTTGATGAACCTGGATTAAAAGACTCTAAAATTAACTGATCGATTCAGCGGCTACAAAAAATGGTACATAAAAACAGAGCTACAAAAATGGAAAAATTAATGATAATTAATTATAAATTGATTAGCTCTCACCTTTTCATGAAGCTGCTGCTGAAAGTTGAGTTTATCTTTGAGCTGATTGGCAACAGTCTGCAGATCAGTTCTTGCTGCCACCTCTGTATCTAATGCTTGTTGAGTTTGTGTTAGTGCAGATTGAAGCCCATCTCTGTCCCGTTTTGTATCCATGTGAGCATTCTGATGTTGAGTGGTGGTCACTCTTGCATCCTGTAACAGCGCCTCCTTTTCTGCAATAACTCGCTGGGCATCTGCTAGAGCATTTTCTAACTTTTGGCGGGCACTGGTCTCTTCCCCTAATCTGATTCAGACAAAACAAGATTCAAAATTCTAACAAGCTGTATATTTCTTAGATTGTCTACTAAAGCAAACCCAAGCAAGATATCTCATTTTGTGGTTAAAATAGAGCACAGACAAGAATTGGAGTAAGGGTTCCAGCAGTCCAAGAGCACTACTGTCATTAAAGATATTGATTTTCCCTTTTTTTTTTATCTTTTTAATTTTCTCCTATCCTAAGAGCACATGTCAAGAGGCCAAAGGGAAGGGGCAAGTAAGGAACTGTTTTTGTCCCCCACCCCCTTCCCCTAGTCCATAACTGGCTTTTTCAGCAAGTTCACCACATCCCCAATACATTATAAGTTACTAAATGAATGGGAAAATAAATGGCTATATTGATAAAAAATGTGATTAACTTAAGGTGAGTCCCCCCCCCCCATTCTAAGCATGCTCAGAGAAATATAAAATTGGCCTAAAGGAAGGGGTCAATGGGGTACTGTTTTGCACCCCGCCTTCATACAATTTCAACCACATCCCTACGACATTAAAAGTAACAGTGAAAAGGTCAGATAAACAAATTACTAAATTGACCCAACAAATCAAACGACATTGGGTAAGCGTATCATACCGGAAAATTGTGGAGGGAAACTACTGTATATTTTGATGAAAATCAAACTTAAGTTTTAAACCTACTTGTCCTGAAGCTCTGCCACTAAAGCAGAATTTTTCGCTGCAGCCAATTGATGCTGTGTTCTTTCACGAGCCATTTCTTCGAGTTTGTTCCTCAGCTCTTCTAGTTGGCGTTCGTACATGCCCTTCAGAGCGACCATCTCATCTTCTAGAATCTTGGTTGTGTTTGTAAGATTCACTGTTTCCATACGGCCGCTTTGCTCGCGCATTTGTCGCACGCGAGATATGTAGGAAGCAAAGCGATCGTTTAGACTCTGGAGATAATCTTTCTCCGTGTAACGAGGCACAAGAATCGGCGAACTCCGTGTAGTCATCTTTTCTCGTTGGTGTCTTGGCAACTAAATGGTCAAGTCCTCGAGTCGCTAAGTAAACTCGGATCTTCCAAGCAAACAAATTTAATAATTAAAGACGAAAGTTAACAACTGCGGAATCCCTACCACGATAAATGGGAATTTTTTTAATATCCTTTCGACCGCAATTAAGAGAAAGTTTCGACAGTTCACTCAATTATTCGAAAAGCTGATTTCACATGTTACTGCGTAGCTAACCAAGAAGAACACGAGCCGTAAATCGGATGATCACACACAAATAAGATTCCCCCGCAATTTGTAACAAAATGTTGTCGCTAGGGAGAGTCAAAATTAAACAAAACGTTGACTTTTGAAGTCCCTGTCGCCGATAAGCCAGTACTTCGTTGAACTTTCGACGAAATATGGAAAATCTGAGTAATTTCTCGCGTGTAGAGCTAAGTTCCTCGATGGTAGGGTACTAAAGTTCAAGTTTTAATTACATTATAGGTTGTCTTCCCAAATTTTCGCGAACTCCTCCAGAAAAACGAGTGATGGAATTCGGACCTCTCAAGACAAAAACCACTCTCAACGCACGCACTACCGGAAGGAAGATTTCACTGTGATTCCATACAGTGGTATTTTTTCCGCAGAGGATCGTTTGCCACAATCGTCTACGACTTCTTGTGTTTTTTTGGGTTAGCGTCGAAACCGTTTCTAGGCAATGACTGCAGGAGCGCATGGGAGCTGCTCTCAAGAGACATTCACATAAAGCATTGGTATTTGCGTGACCAATCAGAGCACGGCTTCAAAGCAGCGGTGTAAGTTTCATACAAAGCCAGCCATGCGCGACGCAATTGTCTTCCAATGAATCTAAACGAAAAGCAAATTACTTCGGAACAAAGATTAAAAGAAAGAACTTCAGATAATTAGCTCAGAGCGTATAACTGAGTAGTGTCGTGGGAGAAACAAAGGACAATTAACGACCCTGTAAAAGCTACATTGGCATTTTTTGACAACACAGAGCTTCGATTCGGTGGGCAAGGTGACGAATGAGCCACTGACAAGAGGCACTTACAGTTTGCTATGATAACTGGAGTTCAATATTTTAAATCATAACATCACTTCTGACTACGGGAACCGAAATCCATTACCTCGCACTTTCAGTTGTTTTTCTAAGCTAGCACCATGTAAACCACAGCCATCGTTGACACACGCAGCTTGCTTTAATCACTCTGCTTTCTAAGCCAACGAGATTCTGTCCAGCGAAGGGGACGGCTGGTACAGTTAGTAAAGGATCGCAATGACTTCTATGTAGGTAAAAAAGAGGGAGGACAATGTATGCATTCGCATTGGGTACGAACTTTTCATATTGGTGGGCTTGGGGTGTGGTGGGGGAATTTAGTAATAACTATGTTCACAAAAGGTCAAGTAAATAAGGGAGAATTTGAGCATGAGTTCATTCTATAATTTTCACCAGGCCTCCACCAGCTCTAAATAATGAACAGTCCCTCAAAAGGGTGGGGTGGGGTAAAATTTGGGTATTGGCAGCAGATAAAGAATGACTATTGGAAAATTCTGTCTCCTTTTGGCTTCTTGTTGAATAGTATGTGAAAGTTGGAATTCACTGAGGAACAGCACTTTTGGAGTTAAAAAAAAAAAACCCTATTTTTTTGTTTCTTTATCTTTTTTTTTTTTAATCTGTTAAGTACTTTCCAGATTTCTCTTGGTGATAGAAAGAACAGCTGGGTATTGAAATTGGTTATGGGCAAGAGAAATGCAAAGAAAAAACAGTGCAGGCAGTCATCACAAATGGAAGCTGGAAACATTCACCATGATCACTCTATTTTATTAGTCAACAAGTATAACTGTTCTGGTGATTATAGAGATGCATGCACATGCTCTGACTGGTCGAGGATTGTGTCATATCTGGCAATGGTCACCTTCTGCAAGGTAATTATATAGCAGGAGGACTGAATTTTAAAATGAATAAAGGCTGATAGTTTCGAAAGAAACTGTTTGGGGCTGCGTCGGTGGGAGTAACGAAATAATTTGGATATATCAACAAAGTTGAAGTGGTAAATTGGCCACCGTAACAATTACAAAAGCTGACGTTTTGAGCGTTAGCCCTTCGTCGAAGCTAAAATTTTAAAATGTCTGCCTCATGATTTAACATTGTTACCAGGGAAGTGATAACCTCAATAGGAGAAAATTCAATTTTCAAACACTTTTCAAAAGAAAGACATGAAAATTTTGCTGATTTAATTGATTAAATCCACTAAATTCTAGTGGAGATTGGCTGCTCATCTTAATGAGAAATCAAAACAATTGTAAAAGAATGGCTTCAACAAAAAAAAAAGAATTTACCACAGCATTTGAAAGCACCTGACAAATTATACTAAAACAATTAGTTGCGTCAGGCTCAGTGAATATTATTAAATAATCCCCTACATTCATCTCAATGATAATATTCAACAACAATCACTTTGCCTTCGCAAATAATTGTTAAATAATATAATCAATAGACACAGGACTGTGGGGTACCCCAATCCCACCAATCCATATATGATTTAACTATATTCCTTAAGTTGAGCAAAATTTTGGATATTAAATTTATACAATTCTTTATTTCAAAATTTTAAGTTCAGTTAACACAAAGCTCACACAATAAGTATCAATATAAGCTATTAATTATTATGGAAATTATTATGGAAATTATTAAATGACTGATTTGAGGTAATAATTTAAGATAAAATTCAATTAACTTTCCACCATAAATAAGTTTTAAATATATCTCATTGACGAAAAAAGCTGTTACTCCCTCTTATAACTTTTAAAAGGAATCATAATATAATAATTAATTCTATAGATGATGAAATTACTCTAACCTTACAAAACTCTATCAAATCAAAACTGCAGAATTATATCTTTCAACGCAATAAAAAGAATTCCTTCAACCAACAATTTCTTAAATTTCACTGTAAATTTCTGTAAATTTGTATTTTTTTGCCCAAGACATATACATTTCCCTGCCACTATCAATATCATGTGAAATGATTTCACATTGCATACCTTTTAGGCAATATGACTTTCATCAAAACACATCTTGAATAGTAGCAAACTCGACATCATCCTTGTTTGTTCATCCAAACTTAAACTAAGTTCAGTCAAAATTATGTCAAGAATGGATCAGTTATTTCCTTTCCTCTTCAGGTATGAAACCTTCTTCACTGAAAGATAAAAAAATACCTTGATTCAACAAAGATATATAAAACTCAAAGAATATTAAATGTGCTACAACTCTCATCAAGTTTTAACAATTTTTTTTTTTATCTGCAATAGACAAAACATCATTCTTTTAAAGAGCTTCACATACCACTCGCCTCAAAGTCAAATTTTGGAACCAGAAACCACCAAAATAGTCACCAGAAAAAATAGTTGCCAAACTAGTCACTTTTTCTGCATATTTGGTTTCCTAAATTTTTTTGTCTTGCCATAGCAACAATTAGTGTCACAGCTTGGAGCATTAAATCAGGAAGAGCCAACAAAGAAACTCAGTCAATTTTAATTTAGATACTTGAGGTTCACATAGTCATCTTGGTATGGAGAAGTAATGCTCTTGTATACTGTACTGCTTAAACATATAAACATATTACAGAGCTTTCTCATTGATAGAGAAACAAGAGAATTATCTATTAAGTAAACATTTGTGAATGAACAGACATACCACAAGCAGTAGAGAATACATTACTTACATCACATTACAATCGTGCAGCCCAGAAGGATTTCGAAACAGAAGAACTCCTTTTAAACTCATTTCACTTAGCTTGTGCAAAGTGTCTCACCTCATCTTTACCACAGCAACACTCCTATTATGTTTATAAAAAATTAGATAAAAGAGCCACATAAATTCAACTAAAATCTGCCTGCAATTCTTAAATATTAACGGTGTTTAATAAATCCATTACTGGTAGTTAAGAAAAAAAACTTATTTGCTATTGTTAAGAAGAATACTTCCCTTGTTTCATCTCATTGCTGATATCAGCTTACAAATCCTTTCCCATCATTTCCACAATGTTCTGGGAGGAATGTTGTCACTTGACAACTTTTCCTTCAGTAAATCGTCAAATGAAGTATGTGCTTTGTTCTTTTAGACTTATGGTATCAATATATTTTGCTCAGATTTACAAGCAACTCTTTAATGCTAAGTTTCAAGCTATACTTTGTGAGTGGTATTAGCAGTTATTAGGAAGAATGATGATACAACTTTTTAAGTTTATAAAAAAAATATCAAGAATTGTTAAGTAGCAACTTTTGAAATTTGATTAGCAACTTTTTGGATTTTTGGCAATTTTTTAGCAACTTTTTAGTCATTGCCATGAGCAACTTTCCAGCATTTATACCAGCATTTACGAGCACAATCAGGACAGGCCTGAGGGCAGACAGCTAACTGATTTGATGATGAACACAACAGTCAGAAATTTTAATTTCATTTTAGTACAATCTATAGTACAGTGTGTCCAAACACCCCAGGAAACATTCAATTTAGGATCATTTACCAGTCCAGAAAAGTCTCCTCTTGTGGAAAGCTGATCCATAGAGGATTTTTATAGGAAGTGAGTATAATGTCAAATATTTAATTATCACAGAGATCATAGCTTTATCTAATGTTCCAAATATGCAAAATACAAGTAACTTAATTCAATTTATTTTAATAACTTCTAGAGCACTATTTTCATTCAATGATCAACAGTGCTTAACGACTTAGAATACTACAGTAAATTCAAATTTATAAAACTAATTACATGTACATTAATATTAACAATGTATGTTAAAAAGAAGAATAATATGGAATATCCATGATAAGGATCTTAATTAGGAATAAGGATCTTGATAAGGAACTTTAATAACAAAAATTATTNGAAACTAAATATGCCCAACCAAAGACAATTTATTGAAGAAAAAAAAATTGGATATTCATGTAACTTAAGATAGGGCAGATAAATACACAGGTTTGTCACGAGATCAATATTACCGCATTTAACTTTTATTTATTCGCCACACGTTCCTCCTGCAAACCCTCTCAGCAGGATCATGACGTCATGCTTGGAGTGATAAACTCTAAGCAACTTTAAACTGTTTATCACACCTATCACAGTTAATCATAAATCACAAAATCTGGAGGAAAAAAGTTAAAAGGGAAAAAGGAAAAGCTGTACATACCACCTTTTCCTAGACGAAAACTCCTGGTTCATCGGCGCTATTAAATACCCCAATTTTCTGTCGGACAGGAGATTTACGAGAGGAAACAGCTCTTAGTGATGAATCGTCTTTCTGCGTCCCATTTCGGGATGGCGTTTGAGAAGCCACTGGTCCAGTTAATTTGGTTTTATCAGGCGATAATAGCATATCACTCACGCCGTTCAAAGGAATGTCTTTTGCGGTGTCTAATTGTAGATTTTTGTCCAAATCGTAATAAGATAAGCGACTTTCTGATAATGAATCACCTTTCAGCGAGTCGAGTTGAAGATTTTTTTGGCGCGCGATCTGTTCTAATTCCGTGAAAGACTTTTTAATGTTTTCGACTTCCTCGCTCTGTCGCTCGGCGAGTTCCCTTTGCTTTGACAGCTCTTCTCTTGTTATGGATATTTCTTGAGCAAGTTCTTCCAGATCACTCTCGTCGACACGCGAGGAACTACTGTCGATTTTAGTGTCGTGTGGAGTTCGCATAGAATAAATTTTAGTACCGACGCTTTCTAAATCGGAGATGTGAACATCGAAGTGGTGAAGTTTATTTCGATGATCTTCAAGTTCGAACTGAAGTTTTTGCTCCCGTGTTCGTTCTTTCGCAAGTTCGTTTGCACAAATTTCTTCCATGGATAATTCCTTAGCTTGCAATTTTAGAACCTGTCCGAGTTTAGTGATACGATCCTCGGTGATTTCCTCTTCGGTGAAGTAAAGATAATTTTCTTCGTCGTCGACACCACAGTCAATTCGCAACTGAATAATTTCCAGGTCGCGCGTAAGACGTTTCAATTTATTCGTCTGATTAGCGACGACTCTCTCCAAAGTCTTCCGTTCGAAAGAGCGATGGAAAGGGTAACTCGTTAAATTCTCTTCATCCTCCGTGTGTTCTTCAGTACCTACTTTACTCTCCTTTGTTGTTGATTTATCTTTCATTAACTTCAAAATAAACTTGACTTCGCCCGCTTGCTTTCCCCACATCTGCAAGCACTTGAGCGGTTTCGCCTCTCGCGGCAAAATCCTTTCGAGATCTCGCCATTTTTCGACCAAGGCAAATCTTCCTAGCTTGCCCGTGGCGCTCGCTAGAGCGAACAAAACATTTTCACATGTTGTATCCTCGTGCGCTCCACGTACAACTCGCGGTACACCGTCTACCCAGACTTTAAGATCAGTCATTTTCCTTCATGCGAGGAACAAAGTTTGATTTTTGAAGGTCATAATCTACCCATAAGATAGCCTTCCTTTCTCAAAAGGGCAGATTTCGTCGACAGATAACCGCGAATTCTACCTGGATTCATGGTCAAATCACCGGTGGTCTTGAAATGAGGGGTTTTTCTCTTTATGAAACCCACCGGCTTTCGTTTTTGGACGCACAATTAAGCGATCTTTCGGCCATCTCGCTCCAAGTGCGTCTTTGTGCTCAATTCAACTACCGACGATTTAAGCAAATAAAAGCAAACGCATGCGTAAGGCACGACCTGATCAAGAATCAAGAACTGTTAACGGGATGTTTACTTTGTTGTTTTCTTGACAGTCCTCACTGATCGATTCAAGATAAAATTAATTAAAGCTCTTACTCTTTGGAAATCTCAGAATGGCATGGACTACATCAAGACAAGAATCTGGAATCCACACACACATTGATACCTATGGCAATACTTTTAATTGACACTTGTTTAAATCTACTTTAACAAATTTTTATCAATGATATTCAGTTCATTTTAAAATGAAGAAAACCATGAAAAAATTGTGGGAGAATTACAGCCATCTGGGAGGGTAATATAATAATGATAAAAAAGATGCAAACTACTCAAATGAATATAAAAAAATTGAATGCAACATAGGCCTCTATGGAAAGAAAAATTGAAAAGATAAATGCTGATTGTCCAATTTAGTCAGCTCTGTGAGGTTAGTGTGGGCATTCGTTGTCTTTACAGCCCTAATTTCTAGTAGGGTTTTTATCATTGCTCTCCTTGATAAACTTCAGCATTGATTTCAACCAATGGATGGCCATTAAAAATTTCAATTCTTCAGTATTTTGTGATGACATATCTTCACTGTGGCAATAAACATCTTTAGATAGTGGGGTTGGAGGAAGTGACATTCTCTTAATATACTGTGGCCTGGTTTCTAGTAAGAGGTTTATCATTGTTCCCCTCAATAAACTTCGGCACTGATTTCAACCAATTGATAGACAGTAAAAAATTTGAATTCGTCAGTGTTTTATAATGATGTGTCTTCACTGTGGCAATGACTGTCTTTAGAGAGTGGGGTTGGAGAAGATTTATATCTTATTAACCAAGCGCGAGGGCTGTACTGGGAGAATATTGGCCCGAGGTCTTGACAGTACGGACCAAGTGCAGCGAGGTCCGTACAAAAAAAAACCGAGGGCCGATATTCTTTCAGTACGGTCCCGAGCAAGCTTGGTTAATAAGAGATTTATTACACGACTGAAGTTCAACGGGACACAAGTGTGGTATCATTTGGGACCATTCGGGACAGTGCCCGGTCCAATACTGAGAGAATATTGACCGGCAATAGAGCATTTTGATTGGTTGATGTTGGTTATTGGCCCTCTGACTTCCCAAGTCGTGTAATAAATTCTTTTAATACACTGTAGCCTGGTGTGAGCATTCTTCATCTATAAAGTCCTAATTCCTAGTAGGGTTTTTATCATTTTTCCCCTTGATAAACTTCAGCACTGATTTCACCCAGTTGATGGCTATTAAAAATCTGCATTCTTCCTGTACTGATGTGTCCCCACTGTGGCAATAACTGTCTTCTTTAGATAGTATTTCTTTCATGACCTAATCCAGAAGGATACATAAGCCAGTGTACCTTTCCACAATATCAAAGCCAACAGCTTTTTGTAGTTTACGCAAACAGACTGGACAAAGGAATAAGGGTTGATTTTCTGCTTGGAGCACTGATTTACTTTCATTCATAGCACATGCAAAATATGAACAGTGAGCCATTCCAAACACATGACATATTTCATGACTTGATACCTGAAGAAAAAAACAAAATTGATAACTATAGCAAAGAAGATGACAGTAGAGCTTAAAATATGTTCCATATGCTCTCTGAGACTGAATTCAAATTCCCCATTTGAAAATCTTTGATTACTATAGATCTGTGCCCTGAGTAACAATCCCAGACTAACTTGCACAGCAAACTCCACCCACTCCCCCACTCATTTTTGAAATGGGGAATTTAGGTTATGAGAGGGGAGCAAAGAGTTTACAGGTAATGCAGAATCATGTAAGCCTAAAACCAATAGGTGATGTGTGAATTTTACAGGAAGGTAAGGTAAGATTTGAAGTTTTCCTCTCTGGATGTGATGCATGAAATACTGTTGACAGGACACCTGAATTTTTCTAAAAAAATTTGTGTGCAAAATGGGATCATAGTCACCCCCTTCCCACCCTTAAACATGAAGTTTATGTAATAATGGCCATTAGTAAGTTTTTAATAAGCTTTAATACATTTGTTATGGTTTTTCACTAAAAATCTTTTGCCTAACGCATCGTGATTTAGCAGTGTAGCAAAAATCAGACAATCCTGAACATCAGAAATATTCATGGAGTTAAAGTTTGCATTTCAAGAATAAAGTGTGTGTGTGTGTGTGTGTGTGTGTGTGTGTGTGCGTGTCTTTTTCTCTTTTTTTATTATTTTTCTATTTCTTTCTTAATTTCTATTTTGTACGTAAATGTACG